CAAGATGGCACATTTTGTGCCATGTACAAAATCTATCACAGGTGAAGAAACAGCTAAGCTTTTCATTGATAATATCTATCGCTATCATGGATTACCTAAAGATATCATATCAGATAGGAGAACTCAATTTGTGTCAAGATTTTGGAGGACCCTTTTCAAGATTTTAAAAGTGGACATAAAGCTATCTTCGGCTTTCCATCCTCAAACTGATGGACAAACAGAGCGCGTAAACTAAGTCTTGGAGCAATATTTAAGGTGTACTATTAACTACCAACAAGATGAATGGACAACCCTTCTACCATTGGCAGAGTTTGCTTATAATAATACGGTACATTCTTCCACGCAACAAACACCTTTCTTTGCCAATTATGGCTATCATCCACGACTTGATATTTTTGATTTTTCAAAAGTTGATAATCCTGCAGCAGAAGATATGGCAAATCGGTTGTCAGAGTTACATGCAATAATGAAGACGCAATTGAAGGAAGCTCAAGAACGACAAAAGATAAACGCAGATCTATATCGTAAGGAGCAACCACAAATCAACGTGGGTGATAAGGTATGGCTACTTCGTCGCAATATCAAGACTACTCGACCTTGTGACAAGTTGGACTATCGTAGGCTTGGCCCCTTTTCTGTTTCTGAACAGATCAACCCAATTGCATATCGGTTACATCTACCGGAGTCAATGAAGATCCATCCTGTATTCCACGTGTCTCTTCTTGAACCATATAAGACAGTGGATATAGAAGGAAGAAGACAAATGCCACCGCCTCCTATAGAAGTAGATAATAATGAAGAATTTGAGGTGGAAGAGATATTAGACTCAAGGCGGCGCCGAAATAAGCTGGAATATCTTGTTCATTGGCGCGGATATGATATTAGTAAACGCACATGGGAGCCATCCAGGAATCTAGGAAATGCATCAGCTAAAGTCAAAGTTTTTCATCAACGACATCCATCAAAATTAAGATGAAAATCTCTCTTATAAAAGAGACAAGATTGAGGCAAGATAACATTCAATTTCCTATCCTTGTTTGTAACTTCTTTGCATTTGTGACGCTAATTAGATGGAGAGCCAACAACCAGCGGATTCAACTCAAGAACCTTCGTTTGCTGACCTGCTGGACGAGACATTACGATTGTCACAACCTTCAAGACGACGCAATCAAGATGAAGATCTTCAAAAACGACATGTTCTTCCTCGAACAGATGGTGAGATACAACGCGTTTGGTATCACGATTTGGGAAGGGACTCTCGATGTTTGGTGATTTTGCTAGAGGTAGGAACAACTCCTGATGGTGTTCCGAATATTCTATTCGAAGGAAGTTACGAAGGCCTCAACAATGATCAAATAACTGGGTGGTCTTCCCGCCCTGGTATGGGACACTACCGATGGTTGAGAGGCCCTATCAATGATCTTCGAAGAGAACAGAGATCAGAGTATGTGGCGAATACAATTCGTCGCATCATAGATTTCCTCAACATATGATGACCGCTCCTCGTGGAACTCGTCTCTAAAAGGGGGGGTAATGTCACGGCCATAATCATGTAAGCTAATAATTACATATAGAAATAGGTAGAAGTAAGTAAAAGTAGATAAAAGTAAGTTAATTCTATAATATTTAATATAGAAGCTTCCTAGAAACTTCCTAGACGCTGCTTTGACTTCATAGGTGTCTTTAATTGACTTTTTGGATTAGAAACGTGGTCAACCAGTTGGCCATGTGCCACACATGTTGTTAGCTTGAAGATCAAGCTAACTATGTGGCCCACACGTAGAAAAACTTACCTTGTAAGTCAAGGCATGTGTCCTACAAAGTCAACACATATTGGAGGTCCTATAGAACGTCGCCACGTAGCCCCTAGTTAGATAGTATATATAGAGACAAGAGTGAAGGCTTCTTCACTCTTGTCAACTCCTTTCTTGCTTCTAGTCCAGGTTCAAGAGTCTTTAGTTTCTTGTTTTGTGGTAATAGCCATTCCAGTTTCCTTTTAATATACCTACTTGTTTATATTTTGACTTATTATATCGAGATAGCCTTTTGGTGTATATTTTCCCTCATCGAGTCTTTGTCCTTGACAGATGTAATAATTAATTATCATAATAGCTTAATAATGTTTAATATAATTTTATATTTATCTAATTCATTTATCTTAAGATTATTGTAGCTAGAGAAGTATAATTATCTAATTAATTAGATTTTTTGTAACCTTAATTTTTTCTATAACTTAACTCAAACATCTATAAAAAGTCATAAGTTTAGTATAGCTAAATCCTTATTGATAGGTGTAAGAGCTTTCATGTATGCTGTAAAAAAAAATCATATTTTATTATTTAAACTACATCCATTTTTTATTGTAAAAAAACTTCAAGTAATATTTCAAATATAATGTCATATTTTTTGGACTTACAAATGCACCAATTACTTTTTAACATCTAATGAATGATTTTTTTAGAGAATTTTTAGATTATTTTGTTATTTGTTATTTAGTCAACATCTTAATCTATTTCAAGAGCATAGAAGAATATAAATTTTATATTCATGTTATCATACAAAAACTTAAAGATGCAAGATTATATGCAAAGCTAAAAAGATGTGTGTTTCATTCTACTTAAGTTGACTTTTTGGAATATATCATTTTAAATAATGGACTTATGATAGACTTTAAAAAAAAATCAAACTATCATAGATTGGAAGATCTCAAAAACAATAAGATATGTCTAATATTTTTTGAAATTTATTAATTACTATTTGATTTTGATTAAATTTTTTTTTTTAATTGCAAGTCAATTCACACCTTTGACTTATAAAGTCAAACTTGAGTAGAATAAAGAAATTGAAGCAATATTTGAAGTATTTAATACAGTTTTTATTTATGCATCAATCTGGTAATATGTTAACTTTTGTAAGATAATTTTTATAAAAATAGATACATTAGACTTTGGTTTAGATATTATATTTTCACAAATAGAAGTAGATGACAAACTTCATACATTAGGTTTTTATTCATGAAAATTTTTAGCAATCAAAATCAACTACAAGATCCACAATAAAAAACTTCTTGGAATTGAGGATTCATTTCAAAAATGACACCATTATCTAAACAATTTAGAATTTAGGTTTAGACAACTAATAATTGGATAAAAATTTATTAAAATCCAATTGAATTAAAGTCTCAGAATTTGGATATCAAAGATTAATAAGATTTTTTTTTTTTTTTTTTTTTTTTTTTTTTATCTTGAATAATTTGCCGATTGGATTTAAATTTTTTTTTGTAAGTTGTGAACTTTGTTGCTAAAACTTTTGCAAAATTTAAGAGAAAATGCAACACTTCAATATAGACTTATTGTTGCTAGAAGATCAACATTAAGTTTAAAAAAAGAGGATGGCCAATATTCAAACAATTAAAGAACTTTTTGTGCCAATTAATAAGTTAGTTTCTTCTTTAAAATCTTATACTTGTTGTTAATTAGATGATTAAAATTTATGAAAAAATTTAAGTAAGATCTATAATATAATCAATAATTAAGAAAATTTTGAAACTACCTTAGAATTAATTAGATTTTGGTTAAGATTTCATTAGGCTTTTATTGTAATTTGTTTTGATTTTGATTAGACTTTTTGTTAGAAATTTTATATTGTATTATAGAATACTTGATATGAAATCTACCATCGTAATTATTAGTAAAAGAAGTGTATCTTACTGATTAGTCTATTTTATGTTAAAAACTCTATTTACTTACAAATTGGACCCTAAAGAAAATAATATGAAAAATTATTATGTAGAAGTTATGTAAAACAAATAAATATAACTTGAAATAGAGATTTGTAATTGCATTGTAGAAAGCCTCAGTATAATGTCATGTATTCACTTAGAGCACTTTAAAAGGAGAAATGATTGAAATATAAATTCTCAGACCTACAATAGAGACGTAGTTATTTTCATATGCAAGTATAGACGAAGTACTTTTCTAATGTTCCACTAATGAATTATGGATTATGGAATCACTTCTCATTGAAATACATCTTCCATCTTGTTAACTTATATCCATAATCAGAAAGCGAAAACAAAATAGATTCAACACCCTATTAGTTATTCCGTGATTTGTGAACTCAAATAAATTCATTTTTCTGTTGTAATAGTGTCTGTGAACAGAAGTCCAAGATTACCGTGAAAGCAATCTCAGTTTCTTACAAGGACTGTCGAATATGTTCTCAGTGTCATAAAGCGTATGACGGAGAGGTAACGCACTCCGCGGCAGTGTTTGCTTTTTGAATGTGTATGAAAGCAGAGTTCATAGAAGTAGAAATATACCCAGTGCAAGCCAAGGGACATCAGACTATGGGTGATGATCTTATCAGAATAGTCAGCATGGGCTGTGGACCAGTATGCCGAACGAGACCTTTCTGTATGTCGTCATTGTCCCATCACTCCCCACTTCTATTCCCTTCCTCACCAAACCACGATTCTGCCTCCATATTCACTCACAGCGAATTCCAATGTTGCAACATTGCGCTGCGTCGTGGACTCCACGCGATCATGCTGCTCCTACCAACCTTACACCGCAAATCTCACAAAACCCCTCCCTATCATCCAGGCCACACAGATGCGACACTGCTCAGGATTATATCATGTTGGAAACGACTAGTTCTCTTCAACGCCCCCTCGCGGAGGTTAAAAGCGAGCTGGGATTATCAAATTGTCATTGCAATCTCCTCCATATGGCCCCCGACATGAAGCACTCTCGCACATCTCATCACCAAAACTTCTATGACCTACCGGCTTACACCAACTCTACTTCACTCTGAGCCACAACACAACTTTGGGACAAATGATTGTTAACAACATGCATCAAAAGTCTGCCGAACTGCTCACTCGCTCGCAACTCTGGCAGCTCCACCATTCAATCACTGCGCACAAGGCCACAGCATTGTACACACGGGATTGCGTATCCCAAGCCCTCACCGCAAAAACGGGTCTACGCAATGGCACGAAGGATCAGTTTTCCTGGCTTGGCTCTTTTGACCTGATTAGCACAGATGGAATCAGAGTCGATCAATGGGGAAAGTATCCTCACCTCCTCCTGTGCCACTCGCTCACTATAGGGAATCACAAGTCTCAAATATCCATGGAAGGTTTGGAAGCTGCATCAGCTCTCAAGCCCAGCGGGCCGAAAGCTTTAGACGGCCACTGCGAATGTTTCAGAAACAAGCCTAAAGGTTTATTGTCATCGACTTCGACGCAATATCCTACACTCGTCATTAAGCACCAAGCTACAACCACTAAAATCCTGGAAAGTGTGCTCATACGACTCCAAGGCAGAGACGTGGACGCCAGCGTGGAGTCCTAACCCTAATTCTTCCTTCCTGGGATCCTAGTCCCGTGTCATCCCCACTTTTTCATGGCTTAGGAAGTCCTAAATGTGTTTGGGAGAATTAAGCACACCAAAAGTTGGAATTTGATTTAGAAATGTTTAGGATTTCATGGTGTTCCATCTCATGTTCCAATCTAAGTTCAAATTCTTCTTATCTTTTGCAATTAAAATCAGTGTTTGTAATGTTTTTATATAAACTTCTTGTACTGATTTCTATTCATAGGAGTACTTTTTCTTCTTCATCTTCTTTCTTAGTAGTTTATAGGTATATATTTTTTGAAATTTTATTTCTAAATATAGGTGGTAAACAACTATAAATTAAATCAAATAAATTTTATAAGTTAGATCAAATAATGAAATAAACAAAACTTTTTCATATATATATATATATATATATATATGAATGTTAAAATGAAATATACTTCTATATATATTACAATTTGATGTATCAAAAAAATTAATTTGTTATAGAATATAATAATGATAATAATAATAATTAGTATTATTATTATTATTAAAAATATAGTATCAATGCTACTTTTTTATAAAAAAATCTATAATTATTTAGATAACATAAGTAGATAGAAGTAGATAAAAATAGATAAATTTAATAATGTCTTATAGAAAAGCTTATTAGAAGCTTTGTAGATGTAACTTTGCCTTCATACGTACCTATAGATGATTGATAGAGAGAAAATTTGGCTAACAAGTTGGCCATATATCACACATATTGGTTACTTGTGATACAAGTTGGACATGTGATACAAATATGGGAAGCTTATACAACATACTAGACATCTATCTTGCAAATTGGACACATCTTGGAGGTCCTATAGAATGTTGCTACTTAGCTTCTAGTTAGACAGTATATATAGGACAAAAGCCTTCCTCACTTTTCTTAATTCCTTTCTTGCTTTTAGTCTAATTTCAAAAGTTTCTAATTTTTTTGTCTTTTTGTAATAGTCATTTTAGTTTCTTTTGAATATATATATTTTGTTATATTTTTTTGAAAAATATCTCACTATTTATTTACATTGTTTGGATTCTTGTACTTTACATATTAAAAAGAATACACTTGTAATAACAAATTTTTGTCTTTTTTTCATTCAGACCAAATTACTTATTTTTCTTGATAAGACATAAGTATATTAGAAGTTGTCAATTATCTACTTCTAAATTGATATTATTCTTAGAACTCTCTTTATTTTTAAGTCCTCTCTTTTACTTGTCTAAAGTAATATTAGACATTTTTTTCTATTGAGTTATAATCAAACAACTTTTTGAAATGAAGAGTGCAATGGCACAAATGTAAGATAAACTAAAAGAGTTAGTGCTTACAATGCATCAACTCAATTTATTACAACAAAGAACAATAAGATTAGCAAATTATAAAGATGTTGAGATGATTGGAATTGTTTTAATATCTACACAAAATTATATTACTTTTCTTATATTAGAAGATCTTTTAAATATCTAAGAATAAAAAATTATCTTACTTGAGAAATTTGATGGTACAAGATCAAAGTTTTGAAGATTCATCAATCAAATTCAATTAGTGATTGAACTTCAACTTCAAAGCTATTTAACTGTGAGATTACAAGTCAAGTTTATTAAAATATTATTTTAATTTTTTTATTATAATTTTTATCTTTTTTTAAAAAATATAATCTAATATTGAATAATTTGGAAGATTTTTGGTAAAGTTTCAATCCATGTATGAAAAATATGATGCAATTTTTGTTAAAACCAATAAAATTTGTATTATGTAATAAGATAATTAATCAATAATATTATATACTTCATAATTTCAATCACTTGCAATTAATATCAATTTGAATGATGCTACAATAATCAACCAATTTCTCTATGATTTATAATAGTATGAAAAGAAATTAGTATTGAACTTATCTAATTTTTAAAAATTATGAAATTATTGTGAAATTATTATGAAATATGACAATTGGCTTTTTGAATTTTGATCTTAATGTTGTACAAGTGAGCTTCAATGTTTTTATAATTCAATGGCAATACCAACATCTTCTCAGTATATACATTTAAAAGAGGAAGACATGTAAATTGATGTAGTATATTTCAAATCTATTATTAAAGAAGAAAAGACTTGCTATCATCAAGAAGGATTGTGCTTATATTATAGAGAATTTAAGCACATTGCTCAATATTATTCAAAGAAACAATACAACCACAAAATAAAAAATATGGATGTTAAAAAAGATAATATGTCAAAAAATAACTTTATATATTTGGAATCTTGTATGACATCTAATAAAGCTACTATTCTCTCTTATAAATCCTCTAGTATTTTTCTATAGATATTTATTTATGACCTAAAAATCACAAAGTTTCAACCTTATTAGATTTAAGAGCCTGAACTTGTTATTAAATAATTTTTTTTAAAAAAAAATACAACACATCTTTTGTAAAAAAAACTAAACTTATATATAAAAGAGTCATAAATAATTATTTATTTTCTTCTGGAGTTATTATTCATAAAATTCTTCCTATAGACATAACAAAAAAAAGTCAAAATATTCTTATGATATTCAATATAATTAGATTTCTTTCTAATTTAGTCATTTTAATTTTATTATGGCTAAAAAAATATAATCTTTGAATATATTGGATTTTTTGTACTCTTGATTTTTTTTCATAATATCATTAAGAGTTTTATTAATCAAATAGAGGATCATAATTTTAATACAACTAAATCCTTATTTATAAGTGCAAGAGTTTTTATGCATATTTTAACAAAAGTATTAACTTTTGTCATTTATGAAAAATTCATTTCTAATAGTAAAAAGCCTTTAAATTTCATTTCAAGTCAATATTAAGATTATTAAGATTTTTTTGAGAAGAAGCATGTGAAAATCCATCCAAAGTATTGTCCTTATCATTGCTCAATTGACCTTCAAAGAAGAGCCAAATTGCCATTTAGACCAATCTATAATTTATGACAAAATGAATTGATTGAACTTAAAGGATACATTGATAAAAAAAACTTATTCAAAATTTTATATGCCATTCAAAATCTTTAATAAGAATTCCTATCTTATTTGTAAGAAAAATAGTTAGATCATTACAAATATATGTGGATTATTAAACATTCAATAATATCACTATCACAAATAGATATCTTCTATCTTTGATATCAAGACTTTTTAATCAATCAAATCAAGCCAAAATTTATATAAAAATAGATCTATAAAAATCATACAATTTGATATGTATTTTGAATTAAGTATAGATATTTTAGATAGAATGTCATATCTTTTTCAAGAACAAAAAATTAACAAAGGAAAATAAACAAATAAAACTTTTTTCATTAAAAAGATGACAAAATAAAGATAAGAAAGTATGTATATTCAAAAAGACACTAGAATGACTATTGCCAAAAAATAAAAAACTAGAAATCCTTGAAATTAATTTAGATGTAAGAATAGAATTAATAAGAATAAAGAAGTATTTAATCTTACTTCTACATATACTATCTATCTAACAGTTAGGTGGTGACATTCTATAAGACCTCTAACATTTGTTCATTTTGCGAGACACATGTCTTAACTTATAAAAAAAGTTTTATATATATATATATATATATATATATATATATATATATATATATATATATATATGTTTCACATTATTAGCTTGTATTACAAACTACTAGTACATGCATCACATGGCTAACTTGTTGGCCAAGTTTCTAACTTATCAATCACTTATAGACATGTATAAAAGTGAAATTGCATCTATAAAGCTTCTAAAAATATTCTTTAAAAGATATTATGAAATTAATCTACTTTAACTTATTTCTACATATTCATATTATTTAAGTAATTATTAGACTAAATATATATATTTGAAACATTATCTCACCTTTTAGGAACAAGTTTCTTGAGGAGCGGTGATCACATGTTGATGAAATCTAACATATTGACTTTTAAGATTGTGATATCAAACATATTATACCTTGCCATCTATTTAAGGAAAAAACATATCATTCTTAAAGATCTTCATCTCAATTATGTTCTCTTGAAGGTTGTAATATTTATAATGTTTCATCTAATAAGTTAAAAAATAATGGCTCTTGAATTGAATCTATCAATTGTAGATTTTTAATCTTTTTAGTATCACAAAATATAAAGAACTCATAATAAAAGAGAGAAGATAGAATGCAATCTCTATTAAACATTTTTTGTTTTATAGTAAGAAATTTCTTGACTCTTTATCTTAATTTTAATGGATATTATTAATAAAAAGTTTTAATCTTCTCTATTATATTTGTAAGATTCTTTATTGGCTTTCATGTACTTTCATTGATATTATATCTACTCTAAAGAACATGATATTTTAACCTATTTTAAGGTCGTCTTATATCTAAGGCTTCTTCCACCTAAAACTCTTAATTATTATCCACTTCCATAAGAAATTGTAGTATTTATCTTCTTCTTAGATATTCATTGTCACTTTCACCTAATAATTGTATATTTTCTTAATATAATATAACTATTAGGTGAAAAGGATCAAGAAATCATTATATTATAGAAGATCTTATTTCAAATATTGTGGCAAATTAACTTAGAAAATAGACAAAAATCCAAAAGAAAATAAAACTAAAGATGTAAATGCCACCTTTTTATAAAGTAGGCTTCTACTTATTTTTTATGACTATAAATAAAGAAAAACAAGATAGATTAAAAAAATAAAGAATATGAACATATGTAGGAAGAATTTAGGAGTTGATTTGAATGAAAATAAACTCAAAGGATAAAATTTGATATCCAAAAAAGACCAGTTATCAACTTGGATCAAAATTAGACTCTAAGGTACAAAACTAAGCACCT